TATATAATCAATTTAAAGTTCATGAAATTAACATATTATATTACTTAATCTTTCTACTATTTTGTTTGTATTAATTAACATATTTGTTTACTAAATATTTTTTTAATTATATTATGAAATATTATAATTGACCAATTCTTTAAGATACCTTTTGGTCATTTTATATGCTCATCAAATACTTTTACCAAACATGATTTGTTCAGTAGCTAACTTATCTGTCACCAGTTAACTTGTCAACTAGTTTACCAAACGTGTCGTTGATGATAGGAAACATTTTCGAAAAGAAGGATCAATATTTTTTTGTTATTAGCATGAAAGATTGACAATATCAAATTGGGGTGTATTAATATTTTTGGAGATCCTGGTATATATCTATTAAGGCAATAGATCAACATATGAAATTCACGTAAGCATAATCATTCTTGTAATATTTTCAAAATCCAAAATCGGGAATTTTAAAATCAGCTAAAATTAAAAAGCATGAAACATTAAAATTAGACCCCAAAAACTTACGAGGCTCTATCCATGACATGATCCCACCTGAAATTCAAGTATACAAACCGTTCAATGTGAAAATCGATCACGGGTTTCAAGTTTTAAGTTGGAAAAGCCAATTAAGTTCTTCAGCTTGATGATTTAGTTTTGGATTTTATATTTTATGTTGTAACCCCAAGATTTACTCTACAATTTTTTTTTAAGAAGAGAATTGAGGTTCCAACATACATAAAGAAGAAGTGACCCAAATCTAGCCGATATTGAACTCTAACATGTCTCTTCCAACAAAGGCTAGATGGCTATAAATTGTCCCAAGGTGTCAAGAGGGGGTGCTAGACGAGTATATTGCCCCAGGGTGTCAAAAGGGGGCCGATCGGAGGAGGTGCTAGACGAGTATAAATTGCCCAGAGTGTTCAAATCCCCAGAGTGATACACCTTTACTATGCAATCGTGCGAGAACATATACAACTACTATATTTACTTTCCAAAAGAATCACTGAGAAGAAAAAAAAAGATTCCAACATATATAGGAAAGATGTATCCTAAATCTATCAGAAACTAATAATATAACTCTCTTTATGAAGAAAAACGAGCATATGAAGTCCATGTATCATTTAAAAAAAAGTGATGATGCATGCATCGTTCAAACATTTTATGAAAACATTAGTAAGAGCCATTTCAACACGTTTATGCGATAGTCTATGAAATTGGGTATTTTATTGTATTAGTAAGGAGTTAACCAAACATAACTAAAAGAATTAGTTGAAAACAAAGAGTCAAGTATATATATGTTTAAGAGGTCATTTATCAAAAACTTATCATGTAAGTAGTAAACAGTAAAATTTAATATTATCACTTACTTATCGAGCAAAAGTTTAGTCCACAAAAACATCATTGTATGCAACAATTTTACCCGGTAAGGCTTAATCGTGGTAAGAGTCGTCGTCCTTACTTACTGGGTAAGACTCTTGGTCTTTGCCTCGCTATTACCGAGTAAAATTATTGGTCATTAAAATATTCATGATGTAAGGTGATGTGACTTGGTAAGCGGATGATGTGACTTGATAAACGCATACCCAAGTAAACGTTTGGTAACCGGTCTCTAAATGTTTTTTAATTTTATAAATTGTTTTATTAAAGAAATGTATATTTTTGCTAGACCATTAATTTTATCTTCTTAAAAATTCAAGTTTATAGTTATTAAAACTTTATGAAACTAGCCGGTAACCAACTAATACACTTAAGCATTGACGGTTGAACATTAATGATATTATATAATATTTCATAAATTATATATTTTTAATGAGAAATTATATTAATTTTTATTCTCGATTCACAATAACATTGTACGTTATATTGTATTACACGAATACATAACTACTTTCAAATTAAGCATGTGAATGGGACAGGATTTTAAAAAAATCCCCATCCTCATTCACATTCCCGTTCCTGTTCCCGTTGGAGAATATGAGCGCATGCTCATCTCCGTCCGAAACAAGGAATTAAGGATTTTTCACCATTTATGTGTGATATTTTAACTCAAATGTATTAAACACCATACTCAGTCTGAAATGGTCTATGTTTAAATCTTACATATTTTCAAAATTTTGCTTTTATAGAGTATCAATTATCCATATGTGAACAAAATGGCAATATAATATCATATGCAATTATTTGATCAAACACCTTGGCTCTCCACGTTTTTTATCTAAAAATAATAAGACAAGTCGAAAAATGTATATAAGAAGAAAGGTGAAAATACCTTTTTTTAAATATAAAAGATACCAAATCTAATTCTTTATGAATAATATTTTTAGTAATAATTATATAATATATTTCATATACGAGTATAGGACAGAGATCACGTTACCGTCTCCGACCCTGTCCCCGGTTTTGTTGGGAATCCCCAACCCCATAGGAACGAATACACTAGGTTTCCTCAATAGAACGGATCTTATTCCAATGCCTATTTTAAATAAATTGATTGATGTAATCGTATTTAATATATTAATTATTTATAGTATAAAAATAAAAAAATAAACACAAATATAAATATAAATACATTAATACAACTTATTGACCAAAACTTATTTCATTTTAATCCTTTTAAGTCTATATTTTATTTAAACTTCCTTTTTGTTAATTGTTTTTCATCACACATCAACATTAATACTTTTATATTTTCAGTTTTTAAAATTAATTTAAAGATGTTTTAAATAATAAGACATTTTAATTAGGATGATATGAGACAACTCACGAGCCTGTAAACCCATTTTTAGAATTGTTGGATGAGATTTTTAACTCGTAACATAAAAAAAATCTAGTAAAAAAGATACAAAAAAAATACAATGAATCTTCTTGAAGAAAAGCACATCGAAGTTGAAAGAAATACAAACATTTACGGTACATCTTATGCTTAGGGTTATAAACGGTTCAGTGAACAGTTCATGAACCCTTTCGTTTAGAAGTTTGTTATGTTCGTTTATTTAATAAATGAACAAACATGAACATATTTCTTTTTATTTAAATGAACAAATATGAACAATGATCTCATTCGTTCATTTACGTTCGTGAATTTTTGTTCATATATGTTTGTTAATATAAGTTCATTTATTTTTGTTTATGTTCGGTTACTTTTGTTTATACATATAAATATATTTATATATTATGACATTAGTGTTGGGTTGGAAGTGTAAGAAGGGATCTCTTCCCTTAGATACACATTAATTAGAATGAGATGCACCGAGATCCACCAGATCAATCATGTATCAAGCGCAATTCATAGGTGAGTTTGAGATTAAAGGTAATTAAGGGTCCAGATCCCTTCTTATGCTTCTCACATTAACTCTTTTTTTTTTTCGCACGATCCGTCGCCTATGACATTAATATGTAAAATTATTAGTTAAATTAATTTTTTTAAATTCCCTTTTTATCCCCTTTAAGTTTACCTAGTTTTTCATTTTGATATGCTATTTTTAAAGAACGAATTGACGATTGTTTGTTCATTTGTGTCTGTTCGTTTATCTTCATTTATGTTCGTTTAGTATTTTTAACGTACGGACATGAACAAACACATTTTCTTCCCGAACAAGCATCAACACAAAAGATTATGTTCGTTTACCGTTTATGTTTATTCATTTGTTTAGTTAAATTAACGAACAAATATGAAATTTTTTTCGTTCGATTCATTTACGATACTACTCATGATATCGTTAGAAATAGTTGATTTCACTATATCGCAACCAACTTATCTCACCACCAAATTTTTTATATTGTATCATCCATCGTCGTTATTGATACCTTCCGACAGAACTCTCACTTTCTCTCTCCATCTCCATGTTTTTCAAAAGCAAAATTCCAACAAATTTACCCGGTTTTTCATTTTGATATGTTATTTTTAAAGAACGAATTGATGATTGTTTGTTCATTTGTGTATGTTCGTTTATGTTCATTTATATTTGTTTAACATTTCAACGAACGAACATAAAAGAACATGAACAAACACATTTTCTTCTCGAACAAGTATCAACACAAAAGACTACGTTCATTTACCGTTCATGTTTATTCATCATTTAGTTAAATTAAACGAACAAACATGAATAAATCTTCGTTCGATTCATTTATGGTCCTACTCATGATGTCGTTAGAAATAGCTGATTTCACTAGATCGTAACCAAGTTATCTCACCACTACTATAACATTACGTGGTTCTCATTATATCATCCATTGTCATTATTGACCTTCCGACAGAATCAAACTTTCTCTCTCCATCTCCGTGTTTCTCAAAAGCAAAATTCCTACAAACTCCGAGCTTCACTGACACAAGTCAACAATTCTTTCATAAAACGTTTCAATTACAAACTTAAGTTCTGTTGTAAATGAAGAATAAGAGAAAGATTGTCGCGGGTTTCAAATATTCATGAGATATTTATTACAAATCACGTTATTCATCGTGAATAGTGTAACATTTATCGTGAATGTTGTTAAAAATCCATGATGAAAGACGTTCAGTATTCATTACGAATGGAACAAATGAGAACACATGTCATGTGTTTTTTTTCCTCCAGTTCACAAGGGAAAACACGTTTACAATTGAACTTCCCCTCTCTTTTATGTGTATTCCTAAGAGAAATTAAAAACCAAAAAAATTTGTTGTCCCAAACTCACCCGTCTTATTTCTATCCAACCAATAAAATGAACACAAATCAGATTTTTATATATTTTAAATTTACTTTATTCAACTTCACAACTCTCTCTCGAATAATATGTATTCATGTGATTGATGGATATAAATAGAACGTCAAAATTTGAGACATGTATTTTTTTTTTATAAATAAAAATATCTCCCTATCTTAAAAAACAATCAACCATCGACCAAAATATAAATAAAATTGGAGCAAAACAAATTACAATAAAAAACGATCGTTTTATAGCCGATTTTCGATGTTTTAAGTTCTCCCGAATCACTTCTATAGAGAGAGAGAGAAGAAGGAATTGAAATCGCCATGGACATGTTCTCTACAGAGAATTCAAGCTTCAGTCCTCGAATTTCATTCTCCCATAATCTCGATGACTTGCTCATTGAAAGCTACCCATCTCCATCCAATCCCAATCCCAATTCCAATCCCAATCCCAAATCCGATTTCGATTTTGATTTTTGCTTCACGGCTGATCCGATTCAAAACGAAACTTCTTCTGCTGACGAGCTCTTCTCCAACGGTCTGATCCGTCGACCCAATTGCGATGAAGAGAACCAGTTGCTCGTCCCAAATTCTTCTTCAACTGATCATGAGATCTTTCGTGAAGGCCAAATCCGTGAAGAATATCTTGAACAGAAAAGGATAAATTCTTCTTCAACACCATCTATGGAAATATCAAAAGAGATTGTTTTGATCGAATCAAAATCCTTTTGGAGGATCAAGAGAAGTAGTAGTCTCCACTTTGAGAGCACCAAACAGAAGACTTCTTCATTCTGGTCATCGTTGCCACTTCTATCTCGAAGTAACTCAACTGGGTCCGTCGAAAAAGATGGTCAAAGCAAACAAAGTCATCAGTTGCAGAAGAAGCAAAGCAAGAACTCATCAATGGCGGTTTATAGTTCTTCGATGAAGCCGCCATTGAAGAGGAATCATGGAGGAACGTATGATTATGGGACTCGGATTACTCCAGTTCTTAATGTTCCACCTCCTTTCGTTTCAAAAGGTGCTGCAAATCTTTTGGGATTGGGTTCTTTCTTTGGCCATGGCAGTGATGATCAGAAGAACAAGAAACAGTCATGGTAAAACCCCTTTTCCAGAGATAGAATTGCTAAATCCAGACCAATGATTCTTTACCTAGTACCTACTTTCTTGTTGTGGATCATTGATTCTTCCAAAGGGTTTTTATATTTAAAATTACTTTTTAACTAGTACGGAAAACGTGTGTTGCGCGGTAGCATAACTACTTTGATTAATAATTTGGATATTGTCTATATAAATATATATTAGTTATTAATAAAATCATCAACAAATAGTATTCAAATAATTCGAAAAGTTAAATAAAATATAAATAAATAAATATATATATATATATATATATATATATATATACCCACTAAAGCAAACTCCATGAATCGACACAAATACACCAATACATATTCCACCTCATCACCACAAGATTTTAAATTTTATAATCCTCATGTTGTCACCTTATCACCCCAAGGTTTTAATTATATATATATATATATATATATATATGTATAATAGTATAATAAATTTTGTACTATATTTTCTACCATTTGGTTTGATTGGTTTCCAACCATGGTTATAAATTTCAAATAAGGTCATCCAAAGAAAGACAACCCTATGAGGCAAACCTCATATTTGACACAAAGGCATCCAATCTATCTTTCTTATACACTTCATATTATTCAAAATTTTCAATTCTTCACCGATGTGGGATATCTCAAACTCAACCACAATTCACCAATACCTCAATACTTAATTCTTATGATGCAACTTCAATACTCTTGGTTTTTCATACCATTTAGTTTGATTGGTTTCCAACCATGGTTATAAATTTCAAATAAGGTCATCCAAAAAAAGACAACCCTATGAGGCAAACCCTATATTTGACACAAAGACATCCAATCCACCTTTCTTATACACTTCATATTGTTCAAAATTTTTAATTCTTCACCAATGAGGGATATCTCAAACTCAATCACAATTCACCAACACCTTAATACTCAATTCTCATGATGCCACCTCAATACTCTTGGTTCTTCCTTTAATATATATATATATATATATATATATATAGAATCAAATAATTCGAAAAGTTAAACAAAATATATATATATATACATATATATATATATATATATAAAATCATTGAAGCAAACTCCATTAATCGATACATATGCACGGTGTCACCTCATTACCCCAAGGTTTTACTTATATATATATATATATATATATATATATAAAGATATAATAGTATAATAAATTTTGCACTATAATTTATACCATTTGGTTTGATTGGTTTCCAACCATGG